CATCTAGTATTTTTGCTTTTTCCAATCATTAGAAATCTTTGTTTCTGGCTTTTCATATTAGCACAGCAAAGAACTAATATACTTCTTCAGTGGTAATCCAGCACTTATTTCAGCACTTATGCTTAAACATAAAAGTATGATTAAGCATTGCATGGAAGTAAAGTGTTGTTTCATTGCATTTCCTCAGCTGATTCTTCTGCTTAAACAGATACATTTTTTCAAAAACATTACTAAAGCAATACTAGCTCAACTTCCTATCTCTTCCAGTCTAATTTCTCTTGTAAATCATGTTCTCATTTTGTCCTGCTGACATTTCAATATTCACTCTATACTGTTTTTCAAAATCTTACACAAAACTGACTGAAATTTCCAACTGTGCAGAAGCATTGCATTGGTTCATTTTTGGCAACTTATCATAGCATTCTAAAATTTCAAATTTATCTTTAAGGGGCAAATCTATGCATTTCTTACTTGCATCTTCCATCATTTTAAGAGATATAGTACAGTACTGTACTTTAACAGGCTTACAGACTTATAACAGTTATTAACTGTTTACTTAGTTAATAACATTCAACTAACAAAAGTCAAACTTATTAGTAATGTAATAATAATTATAAGTGAATTTCTGTAATGTAATTTAATTTATGTTTTGGAACATGATGATTCTGATAATATTAGTTGGCTGATAATAATATTCATGATTACAATACGTGATACCTATTGTATATTCTCAATTCATTTTAATAAACAACTATCAAAATTTATACTTAAAATTTATATATTGTAATAAATTATAAAATTAATTATATTAAAACTGAAATCTTAACTTTTACATTTTATAGAATATTATACATTTTATATTAATTATTAATATAATTTTATATATGTTACAAAATTTGATAACTAAGTTATATTACTATTCTATTATACTAAGCTGATCCAGAAAGTAAGTACCATTTGCGCATATCTCCTGCACAAAAGTCATGCATGCATAGTTACATCCTTCAACTCCAGAACAAATTATTGTAGCCATTTTGTTTCGATTACATTAACATTTGAAGTCATTGTTTGTTGGATTGATTGTCATGTTTAAAACAATCAATCAGCCACCAACTGTGAAATAAGAGCCGTTATCAATTTTTTGAATGTGAGAAATGTTTGACCTTGTGAAATTTATCATCAGATAAATGAAACTTACGGAGAGAATGCAACGAGTGAAAGTATGGTGTGAAAGTGGGTTAGGATGTTTAACAAAGGAAGGGAAAATGTCCATGACAAGGAGCACAGTGGACACCTGTCATTGATCAGTGAAGAATTGGTGCACTGCATTGATGAACAAGTTTGTTCCAATAGGCAATTCACGATTTCTGATTTGTCAATGCTTTTTCAAAACATTTCACAACCTTTATTACACAAAATTGTGACTGAACATTTGCAGTATAAAAAATTATGTGCACAATGGGTACCAAAAACATAACAAATGTTCAAAAACAGAAACACGAGGGAGCAGCCTTAGAGTTTTTGCAGCATTATGCAACAGAAGGAAATGATTTTTTGAAAAGGATTGTCACAGGCGATGAAACATGGATTTGTCATGAGACACCTGAAACGAAATGACAATCACTGGAATGGTGGCATACTGGTTCCCCAAAATCCAAGAAAGCAAAGCTACCTCTTTCTTCAAGAAAAATCATGTGCACCATGTTTTGGGACTGCCAAGGAATTTTGTTAGTGAACTGGATGGAACAAGGCACAACAATCAACACTACAGCTTATTGTGAGACATTGAAGAAGTTATAGCACGCAACACAGGACAAAAGGCACGGACTACTGATTTCTGGCATTGTGTTCGTGCATGACAACGCACAATTGCATACTGCACGCATAACGGTGACGCTGCTTGATTCATTGTGCTGGGAACAATTCTGTCACCCTCTTTATAGTCTGGACCTAGCTCCATCCGACTTCCATTTACTTTCTCATCTCAAGAAATTTCTTGCTGTCCACCTCTTTGCAAGTGATGATGAGATCAAGGTAAATGTCCAGAACTGGTTCAGGTCGCAAACAGCCAAATTCTACAAAGTGGGTATGTTGCAATTAGTGCCAAGATATGACACATGCCTTAATTTGCATGTGGTGAATATGTTGAAAAGTAGTTTAAGGTATGTAGATTTTTCTGTAATAAAATATATATGAAAACAAATTGCAAACCTTTTTTAATATCCAAATGATACTTTCTGGATAAGCTTAGTATATATATAAAAGTGCACAAGGTAAATGAAAACAGGCCAATATATTAATTATTATTCCTTCTACAAGCTTATTCATTTTTCACATACAAGTCTTTTTTTTATTGTGTCAATATCATTGTTTATAATGCTGATAATTGTGAAATCCCAATCATTACTGTGAGAAAGGAGATGCTTTATGCCTTTCTCATAGTAAACAGTATCTCTTTACTGCCAACAATGGTGAACTGACACCCACACAGAGGATCTATTCCCATGAGAAAACAAACTGACTGTCATCTGTGTGACCTAAAATTATTCAGGTGATTGGATGAACAATGACTAACTAAGTGACTGAATAGGTAGCAGTCAAAAAGTTTGGTTTGGGTGTGCAATGGAGAATTTGGGACTTTTACAAGTGCAGAGCAAGAGAATAAAGAACTATTCCCTCAAAAATTAAAGAATTATAATTAAATTAATTTTTATTAATTTAATTATAATTATTAAATTTAATAAGAGATAGCACCTAACACCTACCTCTAGGCCAAAATACTTAGCATTTAATTATTAACAGTAGCAGTATTATAGCCTAATCAAATACAATAATTGTTTGGCTTTATTAAAATTATTGTTAACATACATTAGTATTAATTAAAGGTGGTAACATCTGTTAAAACAATTTCTAAATTGTGAAAAATTTAAATTTTGACATTAACATTATTTAAATAATGGGGCTGCAATTTTCAAATTGAAGACCATATGCACACTGGTGTCTGTCTGTCTGTCCTTCCTTAATCTTGAGAACGGAGTTAGATAGATGAAAGTCAAAACCAGATATGGAAAGCTTAAGAAGTGCAGAAGGCCTCAATTACTAACTATATACAAACTTCTGGTTTGGACTAGAATTCACATCATTTCAATTCAAAAATTCTCTCCAGAATGGAGTTATTGTAATTGTAATTATTATCTTTATTGGCATAGAAGGCTTTCGCCTGTTACAAGGGAATTTTATTTTAAAGAAACACATATTGACATCTCATATAATAATATTTTAACAACATTAATATTTTCTATTTACTAATCTATAAAATTATATTAATAATTTGTCACAATTATCATTTAATTAGTTGTTTAACATAGTTATACAACATATAAATCATGTTAATATTAGCTCTATCAAATGTCTTATACATTTCCAATTCAGTAGTACACTTAGCCAGCGGCCCAATCTGAAGCCTTTGTAGTTTATCCTTTTCATTATGATATTCACACATAATATGAATTTTAGATAAATTTTTGGTACAATTTGGACATTTAGATTGGGTGTAATCTATATATTTATCATTTATAATTATTCCATTTTTATTTAACCTAATCTGTATAAAAACTTTTTAATGTTGAAAGCTATATTTGTCAATATATAGTTATTATTTACTGAATAATTTAGAATTATTGTATACTAGCTTATGTTTTCTCGTTTTCGTATATCTTCAATGTCTTGAATAATAGAGTATTCCATAACTCTATATATTATTTCTTTACTATACTGCTCCATATAAATGTGTATGGTCAATAAACAGTTTAATAGAAAATCCATATTTATTTACTATCTTTCATAACTGAATTATCCAACTTCATCTTAAGTCCGTTTCCCTTGATTTGTGATATAGTAAGAACAACAATTTTGTTGTTATATCTTCAGCCTTAATAATTTTGAGTAAAAACCTTAAATATCTTTTTATTAGTATAGTATTTAATCTGAATCTATTTGTTTCTAATCTTAAAGTGCTACCTGGGATATTAAATTCTAGCTGGAATATCTTACATATAAATATATTCTGTATTTTTTCAGTCATTAAATTTTTCCATGCTCCAAACTGGGGCAGCATATCCCATTGAGTTCATCACAATCAAATTAAAAAGTTGAAAATGTGTACATAAGTTCTTTATTTTTACCTTACAAAATAGACCAATTAAATTATTGCAATTTTTGCTTTATTTAGTGAATTTTTATAGTGTTTTTCAAATGGGAGATTAGGTGTGAATATTACTCCTAAAAATTAATTTTCTTCACTATCTTCACTTCTTCTTTATTAATAAAAAAAAGACATATGCTTTTTGGGTACGTTACTTTCGTTTCTAAATATCATAATTGTTGATTTTTTTTAATTTATTTTAACTCTTAACTTTTCTAAATACTCACAAATTTGTTGGATTTATTAACAATACAGTCATTCTGGTCATATATCTAATTCCATTCTGGAGTTAGATATATGACCAGAATGATAACAGTATTGTTAACAGCATAAGTATGATATACAGGGGCAAGATAGTACTAAAATTGAGAGCACTGTTATGAAAAATTGCAACTTGGCATTGTGACAATAGCACAATAAACAATTGCTCATTCCTGAATTTAAAATATACAAACATTTACTCTTAGAAATAATTTATCTTATAAAAACAATAATTATTATTTTTATTATATTAAGAAATTTTACAAAATTTGAATTTAATAAACTTTTACTTTTTATAAGTAAATAAAATGCAAAATATAAGCTATATAGAGCCATTTAAAATCACTTCTTATATTGGTTAATAACTTGAAATTTAGACCAGTGACATTAATTCAGAAAAAATTTAATTGGTAGACTAAATACTAGTTCATATATATGTTTTTGTGGATTTATATATTATCTTCTAATTTGTGAAACATTTAAAAAGTTTCAACAATAATTGATCTAATTCATAATCAAAACAATTTATTTTTACCTGCATGAACAGCAGGATGTAATGTTTTAACTCGTCCTCCTAACATTTCCGGAGCTCCTGTTAAATCAGAAACATCTCTGAAATATATAAATGACATATTATTAATATTATTATTATCTAAAACCTAAAATTATTTAATCTCTCTCATTTTAATAAGATAAAAAGATGAAAAAATGTTACACTAAAAGATCTTTCCTAAGATATATTCATATTTGATTTATAGAAACATAAAAAATTAGTGCAGTGTGTAGCGTCTTTGTAATCCAAAAAGATAATTGGTAGACGAACGAACAGCAATTGGTTAGAAAACGTTACGTTTTATTTAAAAATTTCTAATTCAGATGCATTTCGGGTTGGCTTATATTCCCAACCCCTCTTCAGTGCTGTTAAAATTACACAAAAAATTAAGGTTAGTTTTACGACATTGGTGAGTAGGAACATAACTAAAATGCGAGGTGATGATAACATAAAATGCTTACTTGTCATATAATGGTACAGCATAGATGTATTTTACAAAATTTTTAATTACATAGTAGTATGGTTATAACCTATGATATGAAAAAAGTGGTATAAGGGGGAGGCTGTTTAACACATCATTTATCCGGTGTTCACCAAGTGACAGAATAATTCTGTTACTCGGTGAACACCGGATAACACCAGTTGTTAATTTTTGTACTATGTTCCTTTTTGTATCGGAAATAATACATTTTAACTAAAATGTAAGTGTGTATTGATATTTTTTAAATTAATATTCTATGTTATACGGTTCTTCATATAAATGATGTGTTAAACAGCCCCCCTTATACCACTTTTTTCATATCATAGGTTATAACCATACTACTATGTAATTAAAAATTTTGTAAAATACATCTATGCTGTACCATTATATGACAAGTAAGCATTTTATGTTATCATCACCTCGCATTTTAGTTATGTTCCTACTCACCAATGTCGTAAAACTAACCTTAATTTTTTGTGTAATTTTAACAGCACTGAAGAGCGGTTGGGAATATAAGCCAACCCGAAATGCATCTGAATTAGAAATTTTTAAATAAAACGTAACGTTTTCTAACCAATTGCTGTTCGTTCGTCTACCAATTATCTTTTTGGATTACAAAGATGCTACACACTGCATTTGATGATACAGCAACCACGTCCTCTACAATAAAAAACTAGTTAAATTAAGCCAAATAATTATCAAACTTTACATACATTTAATTTTCAATAAAAACTTTCATATTGGCAATATATTAATAAACTAATAAATAAACACATTTACAATTTAATATAACTTCGCTAACAAATGAACACTATTAATATTACATCTATGTTTTATGGTATATCTATGATGATGATGATGATGTAGATATAATGTAGTCTCAGTAAAAATTTAAGAAATTTTTAATAAAATCAATTATAATCATCTTCCATACACAACCTATCAAAATTACAATTATGTACTATTTAAAGTATTCAATTTAAGAACTAACCTTATTAAAACTATTAAAAAATAAAATAATAAGACAAATTTGAATTATTTACATTAGTATTAATTAAAGGTGGTAACATCTGTTAAAACAATTTCTAAATTGTGAAAAATTTAAATTTTGACATTAACATTATTTAAATAATGGGGCTGCAATTTTCAAATTGAAGACCATATGCACACTGGTGTCTGTCTGTCTGTCCTTCCTTNATACTTAAAATGGAAAGTAAAGAAACATATTTCAGCAGTCGCATTGGAACAGGCATCATCTGACATGTATAGTATGCCATGGAAAACAAAACCAATTGATGTTGCAGCAAACTACGGCTGTACAGTACTACAGCTTGCCAAATTCAGAACTAATCAGTTTCAAAAATAATTGATTTTCTAGAAGCCAGATATTTGATCTTTTACTGTATACATAAATAAAAGTATTCTGAATAATTTTTCTTTTTTAAAATTGGATCTTCTGAAGATAAATGCACTGAATTTTGGATATGCTTACATTATAAGTATATAATTTGATTTCAGAAGGCCAAATTTTATTTTATTGTTATCTTTGAAGATATGTTTTAACTGGGTGGGGGGGAAATCACACCCAAGATTGGATCAAGACAGGTAAAAAAATTCCAGGAATTTTTCAAGGGTGATCGTCTGGATAAGTTGGTCCTGTCTCTCACCACCTGTTTGCCCCATTGTGGGCTTGTTCAAACTCATAACGGGCTTGCTAAAAGAAGGCTATCTTAGCGTCCACAGGACAGAATGAGTTAATAAATAACAATTAAAAGTAAAAACAATTTTAGTGTTACATATATTTTTTGTTAACATTTAATAATTTTTTAAGCTTTTAATAACTGATGTAATGTATTTTTGTAAAATTAATTATTTGTTACTGCAAATTTTAAAAATGTTTGGAATAATTACTTTTTTTGTATGAATCGGTTCTTCTGAAACTGAATTTAATGCAGTTTTAAAAATTTAATTTAAAATAAATATTTTTGATTTCAGAAATACAGTTGAACTTAGTTTGTTATTGCAGGGGTGCACAACCTGCAACCTGCGGGCCACATACGGCTCCCTATCAATGTTTATGCGGCCCGCGGACGGTACAGGCCAAATCCCTTCTTTCGAAGTTTCTAAGTGTAGAACTTTTTCCCTTTCACAAAGTCATTAACACCCAACTGTTTTATGACTTTCCCTGAGGTGAGAAATGGGGGATTGTTCTATAAATAAGTCTATTTTTAGCTAACACTTTCTGCTTTAGATATCGAACATTTTAAAATGATGTTAGAACGTCATTTCCGATGCTATCGGGAAGTTTCTATTTTGGTGGGAAATCTTCAANTCTTGAAAAAGTACGAGGGGAAAAAGTTTTAAATGCGCTCTTTCAATTTTTACATCTCAATCAGTTTATCTTTTTAACAAATTTAAAAGATAAACTGGACTAAAAGGAATGGAATTTCTCTACGAGAAACTGACCAATTTTATAGTTAGTTAAATAATAAAACACGTGACTCTTATAAACACGTATCGTAATTATATAATAATGTGATCGTAATTATACAAAACGTAACCATGAGTTCTAAAACACGTGGCAATAATTTTTTCAATTTAAATCACGTGTTTTACAATAAAATTTTTCAGTTTATGAACATTATATAACTTTATATTCCTTAAATTCATATTAATATTACACGAGGGAGGTTTTTCGGACATAAGTTTTAATGTAATATATCGATTGCTAAATATTTATCATTTTAAATATAAACATAACCGTTAAAAAAGTTAAATTTGCAAGATAATTTAACAATTTAGAATGATAATGTGGAAGATAATTATACATACCGATTTCCATTTTGCTTACGAGAACCCGAACACCAGCAAGAGAAACTAGAAAATAGACAATTTCAATTCACGTATTAATACTTTGAAATGTTGATAGATGGCACTTAATCCTAATTTGGCCCTTCTTCAGAAAAGGTTGTGCATCCCTGGTTATTGATTTAGAAAAATGGAATTTAATAAAGAATGTAATAAATGATAATTATTTCACCATACTAATAAAAGAATCCACCATGTTTTTCAAAAAAATAAAATTATTTAAGCCATAAATTATATTTTTAATAAAGAATATTATACATAACTTATATAAAGAATTATTGATATCAAAAAATGATTTAATATTGTTATAAGTGTCATCTGCACACACTCAATAAAAATTCCATATTATATGTGTGATGTGAAGTAATGAACATTTTAACTAGTAGCTCAATCTACTTGGTAATTGTTAATGAAGTGTTAAACAATTATTCTATGCATGTAACATTGTTTTGTTTTAAACAACTTAATTATTGGGAAAACAGATAATTTTATTGTTTTTAAATACCTCTTATAAAATAATTTACATTTACATTACCTAACAGGTAATCCTGCATTTCTAATAGCCTTTGCTGTTCCTCCAGAAGCAACAAGTTTTAATCCAGCATTATGCAATCTCTTAGCAAAATCAATCAATCCAGTTTTATCCGACACACTCAAAATTGCTATTAAAAATAAGAATAAAGAAAATTTTATCATCAGAACAAAGTAACATTGATTATTATAATACAAAGAAAAGAGAGACTGATATTTCTAACATATTAATACAAGGAGATTTTTCAAAAGTAATTCTTATAAAATCAATAATAAATATAATTTATTATTATTTTTGCTAACTTAAAAATACCTACTTAGTTTAATTTAACACTAAAAAGTTAATGATACAAATAGTAATTTCTTATTTTCTAATTTTATTTAATTTTATAATTATTATCTTTATTAGTAAAAAAAAACAATTAATATTAGTTATATACATACAGTGGTACCTCAGGATACGAAATTAATCCGTTCCGAAACTGAGATCGTATCATGAAAATGTCGTAAGGTGGATCATCTTTTCCCATACGATTATATGTAAAACCAAATAATTCGTTCCAACGCGAAAAACATACTCAAATTAAAGCCAAGTAATACATTAAAAAAATAACTGTAGTAAGAAAAACAAATGAAAAATGCGAACTAATGTAACGTCGTATGGTGAGTTTTTGTTCGTATCGTGGAGCAAAAATATGTTCGAATTTCATGTCGTATCCTGAAAATTTCGTATGCTGGGGCGTTCGTAACCTGAGGTACCACTGTATATGAATGGGAGATTACAGGTGGCTTTTTTCAGCTCCTTCCAAAACAATATTTGAAAATATCTATATTTAAAATACTTTCTTCAATGCATACTCATATATACTATAAACTAATTTAATGATATAATAAAAATAACTAATAATTATTATAATTTAAAATTAATAATAAATGGTTAAATATTCCTATTATGAGAATCTGAAGAATTATACATCAAATTTTATTAACGATGCAAGGAAATTTATAATAGGAACATTTGTGTTATGCAAATTTTTACACTTTTTTTGCATTTACATTTGCTTGAAATGTGATAAGGATATATTGTATATCATATATTATACTGTATATTACTCTATATTATATATTTATATAGATATGAATAGTCTTCACAATTATTTTAGTAAAAACAAATTAAACAACATATGAAAGAATTTCAGAAGTAATATATACAGACAAAATTTTACTAGATAATTTCTTGAAATGTATATTTCAATTTTACATTCAAAATTCGCTAATATTTGTTGAAGAATTATTTTTTTGAAACAATACTTTGATTTTAAAATTATTCAAATTACAAGTAACAGTATGCTAGATTTTATGTTTAAAATTTCAGAAATCAGAAATATATCATCACTAATTTTAAAAAATTGAAGAATTTCTAAAATTCAAAATAAACCTCATCCTCCTAAGCATTTAAAATTAATATATATTTTAATCCATTAATAAATAATTAAATTTTTAAATAATGAATCCAGTTAGGACAATTATAAACTTTTATATTATAATATAACAGCTGTATATAATATATTGAAATTATATTTTTTATATAAAGTTTCAATTTTATATAGCGTACAGTATATAACTTTTTTGGCTATGTTTTTCATGTACTTTTTCAAGATCAAATCATCTGTGAATGATTTGATCTTGAAAAAGTACGAGGGGAAAAAGTTTTAAATGCGCTCTTTCAATTTTTACATCTCAATCAGTTTATCTTTTTAACAAATTTAAAAGATAAACTGGACTAAAAGGAATGGAATTTCTCTACGAGAAACTGACCAATTTTATAGTTAGTTAAATAATAAAACACGTGACTCTTATAAACACGTATCGTAATTATATAATAATGTGATCGTAATTATACAAAACGTAACCATGAGTTCTAAAACACGTGGCAATAATTTTTTCAATTTAAATCACGTGTTTTACAATAAAATTTTTCAGTTTATGAACATTATATAACTTTATATTCCTTAAATTCATATTAATATTACACGAGGGAGGTTTTTCGGACATAAGTTTTAATGTAATATATCGATTGCTAAATATTTATCATTTTAAATATAAACATAACCGTTAAAAAAGTTAAATTTGCAAGATAATTTAACAATTTAGAATGATAATGTGGAAGATAATTATACATACCGATTTCCATTTTGCTTACGAGAACCCGAACACCAGCAAGAGAAACTAGAAAATAGACAATTTCAATTCACGTATTAATACTTTGAAATGTTGATAGATGGCAGGAGCTGACGATGGACCTTGACCGCTTATTTAATATTGAGAAATAGTTGCTTGTCTTAAAAATATTTTATTATTTCTTTTTTTAAAGATTTTAAAATCTTAATTTGGGAAATTATAAATTATTATTCGAAATTAAGGAATTATTCTAAATAAGATACTTATTATAATAATTTATTATACCAATATAATATTAATCAAGAGTTTTATATTCAAATTTGGAAAGAAATATTTTTTATTAGAGATGTTTAATTACATTTCCAACAAAAAATTTAATGAAAATAATAAATCGCCTGTAGATAAATATTGTGCATTCTTTAAAAAATAATGTGCAATATTTAAATAGGGCACATTATTTTTGCACATGAATTTGTATTAGAGAATTTTGTGGTGAATTAATGCTTACTAATATCTATGAGCAACTGTAATATATTGAGATAGTTATGTGCATAGAGCTGAAGGGAAATTTTCCCTTTAACCATTTAAAAAATTGCGATAAATATGCAATAATTACTTATTGATATGGTTTTCTAATAGTTAATTTAAATAAAAATAAATCAAACGTGTACAGTATATAAGCCTTACTCGATTTATTACAGTACAAATCTATTCCTCTATTAATGCTTTCTTACAATAATACTGTATCTGGATTCACCACTTGCTAACATACAATATATAAGATTACAAAATAACAATTATAATGTGTAACAATCTACGGGGTCTTATTACACCTATATGCAAATTCAGTCTTATTCAATATTCATCCTCAATCTTGTGACTTAGGTCTAGGTTAAGGTTATTTTCCTGAAATAATTTATTTTATTTTATTTTATATATAGTACGAGTAAATGATCAGTTCTCATATGAAAACCCGATATAATGTAGGTGCCAATTAAATCACGTTCAGCAATTTCAACAGAGTAGCAGTTATTTATTTAGAAAATACAATGATAAAGCAGGAAAAAGCTTTGGAGTAATTTTAGAAATACTTTAATTATTCTCTCCTTGCAATGTACTGAACTGTACATCAGAATTAAAATGTGTAAAAGTTTTCATAAGTGTTTAAAATTAGATAAGTAAAAATATTCATTAATTAAAATGCAAATTAAATATGTTAAATCGAAGGACATCTTAGTTAAATATTGACAGTAATAATCAATGAATTTGTCAAGGTTGTACGTCTCTTTTCTTTTTTTATCAATTTTTAAGTAATAAGATAAGCTATTAATGTCTAGAAATGATATTTTCTGCAATTCTTGAACAAAATATTGTAAAAATGATTAAAAATAAATGCTTAAATTGATCATTCACGAAAACAGTTCAGCTTTATCTATAGTAGCAGTTTTTATGCGAGAAGAAATAATGCAGTTAAAATATTAATAGCAATATTATAAATTATTGGACAATCACAAATTATGATTAAATGATAGTCTTACATAATACTATGATTTTGAGCCTATTAATTTGGAAAAAGTTTTAATAAATCTAAATTAAATTTAATATATATATACAGTATATATAATTCAATTTTAATGCCTTTACTTAAGTTAATTTAAACTGCAGTTTTTATATTTATATTTTCAACTTTTAAGATTATTATGTAAGAATTACACAAAAAATAATTAATATTATATTTAATTTTATTTTGTTATTATTATTAAAGTATTTGATTATAAAAAAAAATTTTAATAAATAAAATTTTTTTCTTTATAAAACATGTTCAAAATTTCTAAATTTTAATATTATATCCATTTAAAACAAAATAAAATTGCATGAATATTAATTCAAATCTTCAAAAGTGAACAATCATGCATTCTTAAATGTTCAATGCAGTTAAAAAACAATTGATAGGCTTATATACTGTATTTGATATTGATTCAGATAAGAAGAAAAAAAATAAAGATATCCTATCTGATGTCTACACACCCTAAGAACTCTGAACAAATCTATGATAAGATATTTCATTGAACTTTGTTTCTAAGAAAATTTTCTTTAAAAATAATAAAAATGCGCTGTATTTTAATGTAAAACTTGTTCTGTTTTAAATACTATATTAAAATGAATATTATAAATTACAGAACCATAATATTTTATATAAATTTGTGACCCTATATAGGCCTATTTTTAATGTAGCCTATTCATATACATACCTTGGACATTCTTATAAATTACATGTAATTTTTGTGTATGTATTTATATCATTAAATTATATTCATAAAAGTTATATAAGATATTAATATTTTAATAACAAATTTTTTGAAATTTCAAATTGCTACGTCAGGGATTTCCAAAGGCGTCGATGGAAAAAATCAGATGCTTATTCTACTTTCGCGAGAGTTTCCGATAATTTTCAAATGAGAATAATGATAATCATGTGGAAAATTCATTAACTGGTTTAATAATTTAATCGATATATTACGCAAAATCTTGGGAAAAACATGAAAATTTTAACGGAGTCGATTTTCTATATGAGGATGGATGCAAAAAAAAATTTTGAACATCTGTGCTAGGGTTATTATTTTGACTAGCTTGAATTCTTTTTTCTATACTTCCTTCGTATACTTGTGTTTATACTTGTGAAAGACGAATGTGACATCATTCTTCTAAATAGGGTGTTGCTGATTGCGGGTTGTAAATGTCATTTCTGTTGCCACGACCGCTGTTAAGATGTCATAAAAATGTTTTTGTTGTTTAAAAAAGAAAAATTACAGTTCTTTTAAATGTACTGTGAAAAACTCATTCAGTTGTAGAACATTGTCTCGCGACGGCATTCGAGAACGGAGGATTTGGTTGTATAAATCTGTACAGAGAAGCTGCTGGTGTATTTAATCAATAGTCGTAATTCGTACAAAGACATGAATAGATAATAACGTTTGAATTTAGTTTGATTCGGTTAAAAGTTAGATTTCGCCAAAAAGCAAAAAATACGAACTACGCAATACCAAGCCAGATTGATGGACCGGACGTGACGTGACCTCTCATTCCTACTATTGGTTACAATTTGTCATGTGCCTTTCAACTCTCTCTAAACCAATTATAATTTTTAATTAATACATTTTTAAGTTATACCATATCTTATCTATTCATAATCATATCTTACGTATACTTATTATATAAACGTGATAAACGTAAAATAAAAAATGAAGTTAGGTCGAGCTTTGAAGATTTAGATTAGGCCTACTTTCTAAGGCATAATTTAGTATGAGAGCTGGGAAGTGTATGAAATAAAACTGAAACATTATTTTAGATTCAAATAAGACAGGAAAAAAGTATTGAAAGATAAACTAATCAGATTTTTACTATTTAATAAAATAAATTTAATAGAGATATAGGTCCTAATCTGAATTTCAAATATGTATGAATAAAAGAAGGTAAATGTTATGAATTATGCAAAAAACAGAAAAACTAGCCCATGCTGAACTTAATGCAGACTATAAGTTCTGTTTTATCTACAGTAAGCCAGCTAATTGAATTATACAGATCAGTGGTGCCCAAAATTTAGTTTGGCGGGCCATACTGCACATAACTCATAAGTAAGCGGGTCACTAATATTTTGTATATTTCATGAACACAAAAAGTAGAATTATTTTTATCATTTATGAGTGATGTGCTAAATACAGTATGTTCGTGAGTGATGTGCCAAATTAACGTGTGCCACGGGCTGGAGTCTATAGTTTGCGTACCACTAATACAGGCTATCATACATCCATTTCGATTACTTTAATTTAGTCTTTCATTGTCAATTAAGAAATTCTTTATAGTAAATTCGTAATTACGTAATCATTGTCTAAAACTCTTAAGGCCATTGGCACTCATCATAAATAATCCTTTTACTGTTCGATTTTTTCAGTTTATGCATTCTATTAACAAAGAATTTTAATTGATGTACAGTATTCTGCTTTAAAATTCTGTATTAAAATTTTACTGGATTGGCTGACGTTATTGATTTTATTATAAGGTAAACATAGATCTTATATAAAATAAGTTATATAAATTTCAATTATTGCATGCCATTTAATAATTCGATTAAAAGTGAAACAGCAAATTTTGATATATTTTCATAATTTAAGAAATGCTAATTAAGACTTTAAAAATTCGATTCATTTGTTCGAATCAATTTTAAAAAATAAGTCTATTGGCTTATTTTTAGATTTATAATTCTAGAAAAATTATAAAATGCCAATTTTTTTTAAATAATCAATAGGCCCTATAGTTATTTGACAACAAATTAATAAATTATTTTAATATTTAAAATTTTATTCTAAAAATAATAGATTAAATCTATTTTCATTCACAAATAACTTTTCCTTTAAATACTAATCATAAAAATTATATAAGCCTCATTGCTACTTAAATAAAATTTTTTTTTCAATTCACTAGTTTTTTACATTTTATTTAGGCCTAAAAGTCGATTTTTAAAACTTTCCGTTAATATTTCTGAAAAGTATAATTATATTTGCAAAATAACAAATAAAATCGCTAACAAAGTAAAATTTTATACACAACATCGATTTTTTAATCTTTATTTTTCAAATCGGATACACTAAAGTCCCATCTTTTAAGAATTAATTTGTAAAATATATAATAGTTTCTAGTATAGGCCTATGCTATAAATTTTAATCTCAATTATAGCTTATTATTATGCTATACGATTTTAATCCTTTGAAAGTTTAAATTCCTAAAGGATTTTATAAATTCCTGCATTTAGATAAATACCATTATGTCTACTTATCGCTCAGAGAAAGATTTCATCATTCCATCTAAGTATCTCGTTCCCGCTATCAGTTTAAAACTTTAAGCAATGCTTTCAACTTTTTAGATGCATTCCTTTAATGGTATTTGTTTTTTTTTTTTTTTNTTTGCAGCAATCGAACAATTTGGCTACGTAACTTTTTTCTCAATGAGTGTATACGCACTATAGAAGTATATGAGACCTTTACAACAGATTAGTTTTTAAATACAAATACCAAGACAAGTAACAAATGAAATTAGTCTGTCTGCAAAGCTTACACTCGAAACACATATACAGTATATAATAATTTTCCAATCCAT